TAGAAATAAAAACTTTATTATTTGTATTGAAAACATTCGAGCGATTTGGAGAGTTTCATGCTGAACAATAGAAATATTTCTTTTCCACTCTCGTTTCCAACACGACAAAAATGAATCAGGTGAGAGATTAACGATACCTATTTTCTGCTTTTTGTTAAATTACATTGGGCGATATTAAGCCGCTAGATTGATGGTTTCGCGAACAAAATTTAGTCGGAGAATTGCTATACATTTAGTCATCAAGCCAAACAACAATGTGACTAATATATCTAAATAAAATTCAATGAAAATTTCTCCTATTATTTTCGCTTTGAACTAAACGTAGCAGTTGTTGGTACCGATTAATCATTTATATATCTTTTTTGTAAATACATTGTTGGAAAAGTAAACAAAAGGGAGGTAAAAAAAGTAATCGCCACCACATTGCACCACTGCTGTAACCTCGATCAACAACTTAGTGTGAAATAAGGTGTAAATAAGGTTAAATCGTCAAAGAAACTAGAAAGAAAGTTTCTTTACAAAACAAAGAAATGCCAAACTACGCACGAAATTCAAAATATTGGTATATGTAATTAAGTCCTATTTATCCCGTGGTCCTCACTGCCCCAGTCTCCGCTACTAAAACTATATAAAATTTTATACTCCTGTTTGGATGCATAACGACTTTTAAAAATTAATAAGGTCTAATATCGACAAAATTTAAGTTCTTTGAGATTCTATTTCAAATAAGTTGGGACTTTTAATTTCATAAACTCAACTTTTGACACAATAAAGGTGAAATCTCAAACGTGCCTAACACTCTCTATGGTATCTAGTTTATAAACTGACATAAAATTTGAGTGGTTTTGTGAATCTAACCTTTTATACAAATTAAAGAGTTATTGATCGAAAATTTCGAAGTAATTTGGCCTCTAACGTAGCTTTATGTCTACCGATACAGACCGAGCCTTGAGGAAATACGCAAAATTGCATGAATTTATCGTATTTGCAGAACCACAATGTGATTGTTAACTTCTATAACAATATCATTTAATTAAAACTTGTAATTCTTTTATATTCGGGTATTTAAAAATTATCTCTATATAGTCCAGTCGTCAGAGAGTTGACCTCTAAAAATCATACGAACAAGCTGAATTTTGCAGAGAATATTAATTTTGTGACCCCGAAAAAAAAGCAAACAAGTTTATCACTTTTACCCCCCGACTTCCTGCTAAAAATCACCCTCACAGGAGGGTAAAAACGCAAAAAATTGATTTATTAACAATCTATACACCGTAGAAAAAAATATTTCAAATAAAAAGTGTAGCTGAGATAATTTTAAACAAAAATGTTTATATGCATTCTTTGTGTAAAATGCGCCGTTCTTTTAGAAACAACACTTGAAGCATGCCGCCGATTTTGCATGTCAGTTACGCGCGCGAAATCAATGTTTAATAAAATTTGTATCAGCTCGACGGTAAAAATTCAATATCTTTTGATCCAAATGTAGACAAAAAAAACAGTGATGGCGACAAGACACAGCTCTGTCGACCATCTATGTTGATTTTTATTTTATTAGTTTTTAAATTATTTATTCTTATGACAGATTCTTGTACATAATACAGATTATTTATTATTCTTATATCCCGTGTGTCGATGTTTTTGGTTCTCAGTAGTTTTATTAACGGATTATGTTTTACTGCATCAAATGCCTTGTTATAATCTAGTAAGCAGACATAGATGTCCTGTTTACATCTAAACATTTCTGTATTAGCACATTTACTACATATAATGCTTCTCTGGCTCCTTGAGCATTTCTAAATCCGAACTGGGTTTGTTTAATGTCTTATTCTAACTTTTTATATATTCTACGATGAACAATCTTTAGGAATACTTTTTGTATGTGGCACATTAGACTAATGGTAAAGCGATCGCAACATTGCGTGGCGTTTTTCTTTTTCTATATTAAATAATTCGACAATAACATGTATATTACAGTCGCCGATAAGTTGCAATATTTCTGTCTGTATTTCGTCTAGTCCTACTGCTTTCCCAGTTCTCTTTTCTTTAATTGTGTGTTTTATTTCACTTTCTGTTATTTATGCTCCACTCTCTTCAACAAAATATTCGTTATCTATTTTGTCTCGTTTGTCGTTAAACAGCTGTTCCATATAGTTTGCCCATACCATCAATTTGTTTTCTCTATCCATTACTGTGTCTCCCTTTTCATCAACTAGTATATTTTGTTTCTGTTTGGTGTTCTAGTTAATTCTTTTATTTTCCTATGTAAATTAAAGCTGTTATGTTTATTTTGTAGCATGTCTATTTCATCACATTTTTCTTTTAACCAATTTTCTTTTGCTATTCGAATTTGTTGTCGTATTACGTTTTGTGTTTGCTGGTAGAATGATTCATTTTTGTCGTTATATACTTTTATTTTATCCATCAAGTTTAGTATTTCGTCATGAAGAGATTGTGGTTATATGCTATATCTGCTCCAGGTTGTGTTTTGACTGCAGTAATATTATTCCGATATCTTTCTTTGATCATTATGTAAATGTATCTAAATGTTCAAAAAAATGTGATAATTTAAATTTCATTTAGGTCCAAATATGCATCTGTTTTAACGATTTTTAAGATCTGAATTTATAAGTGTTGTGTTGGCTGAATGCCACTTACGACACACCAAGGCGTGGTTTGGTAAATAAAATATACATTATAGATGTTGTTTAACGATCCCATAATTTATAGTGTTCCCAATAGCATTCTCCGTACGGTAGTTTTGATAATATTTATAGAGTTTTGCACCAGCCAGGTGTTTGTTTTGAAATCATACTAGACTATCAAAAGAAGATTGAAAACGTGCTAAATTTTGCTTAATTATTATTTCTTACTTTACCGTAGCTATAATTTTGGATATCATTAGATTATATGTGAAAGATATATGGTTTATAGATTTATAAAAACAGAAAAGACATTGACGATGGCAATTAAGGTGATCACATAATTTAAATAACATGTTTATAAGTGATTAAGCCACACATTATTGAAATTAAAATTAAATTTCATAATTGGTATTTGACGTTTCAAATATTACTCCAGAAATAGCTTTCAAAAAGATTATTTTCAATTAGTGAGCGTTATAACTTGAATGTTACCTCTTGAAATAGAAGAATTGCAGTTAAAGAAGGACACGCCTAATATGTACAAAAAGGTAAAAGAAATAATTGAAAGATATAGATTAACTGCAAGTAGTTTACTTAATAAACAAGGAAATATTATAGTTAATAAACAAGACCGATTAGAGAAGTGGAAAGATTATGAGGAGCTGTTTGATGACGATAGAACAGAAATTCAAATCGAAAATTTATCGACAGGTCCAAACATAAGACTCGATGAAATGGAAAGAGCTATAAAGCTATCAAAGAATAGAAAAACAACCGTTCAGATAAAATTCCTAAAGAAATATTCAAACTACTTGACGATAGGGGTAAACATTATCTTCTAAGCCTCTTCAATAAAATATACGAAACAGGACCTATACCAACAGACTGGCTACTGTCAACGAACTGAATGATATCGAAAAAAATAAACGCCAAACAGTGTAGCGATCATCGCACTATCAGTCTGATGAGTCATGTACTAAATATTTTCCTAAGAATACTGCACTCGAGAATTTACAACAAAATAGAAGTACAACTAAGTGAAATACAATTTGGTTTCAGAAACAACCTTCGAACCATAGAAGCACTCTTCAGTTTACAAGTCATGGTTCAAAGATGTAGGAATATCGAACAATCGGTATATATGTGTTTTATCGAATTTGAAAAGGCATTTGACCGAGTAAAACCATGACAAACTTATAGGTGTCTTGCAACACGTAGGAATTGATTAAAGTTACAATATTACGGTCATGTACTGATACAAACAAGAAAGTTACAATATCTGGAACACGTAATGAGGGGATAGCGATATGAACTGCTAAGGCTAATCATACAGGGAAAGATAAGAGAAGGCAGGAATATAGGAAGAAGGAGAGTGTCATGGTTGAAGAATTTAAGGGACTGGTTTAAATTCAGTTCTATAGAACTAAAAGAGAAATCATACGATTTCTACCTGGCGAAATCGAATTCGAATATAAGCCGCCGTGCCCCCTAAGACTTGCGAAGTAAACAGCTTGATGAATGCATCGGCAAGGGAGTCTAAAAATTGCACTCCAAATGCCGTTCATCATGGCCTATATTCGTAGTGAATTCGATTTCTGGTAATCCAAATGAAGTAAATAAACAAAACAAATGACGGTATTATATTTTGATTTGATACAGAGCAGCAACAAGCCGCATATACGTATTTCGATCTCTTTAGACCTCCTCAGTACGGTATAGTTACTACTCCATATCAAACCAAAATATTTTCCCGTCGTAGATTATAGTTATTAAAAATAACTATTTACGGACGTAACTACGCCATCTAAGAACAAAAAGACTGCGAAGCAAACAGCTTTCATCAAGCTGTTTGGTTCGCAAGTCTTAGGGGGCACGGCGGCTTATATTCGAATTCGATTTCGCCAGGTAGAAATCGTATGATTTCTCTTTTTGTTCGCGCTTTTTCAATTCGTGATCTTATTTCTGTTGACTGGTCCCATTTTGTGTGGAGATTATTTTTACTACTGGAGTCATTTCGAAGAACCTCCCAAAAAAAGCTGGGTTTGAATGTTTGTAAGGCCATGCAGAAAGCTGTAATACTTCTGAAGTCCAGATGTATATCAAAATTTTTCGGAGATACTCCAGCATACCAAGTCACCTAGGGCTCGACACGAGCTAAAACAAAATAATGTATTTGATGTCAAAACCTATTTTTGGAAATGACTTCCATACTTGAATTTAAAACAATGATAAAATAGTTTTAGTCCTACAATTGCAGTTAATTTTTATTACCTTTTACTGCTTATTTTATATTTTTGACCTTTGTCTCTTTTATTCTATATTACTTTAAATGATAACTGTTTCGTATTGTTTCAGGGACCAAGTTTCTATGCTCCGAGGTGATAGCACCTATAAGAAGCGAGGTGGATGACATCAGTTTAATCATCATCAATTTCGAAGATTTAACCACGGTGCCAGCCTCGTCCCTAGAGAATAGTCCCATAGGAAAAAATAGGTTAAGTAAATGTAGGTAAATAGTATTAAACACTTATAAGTATTTTTAGTTAAGTTTAAAAGCAAATTTAAGTTGTAATTTTTTATTATTCTTCTTTTTTCGTTCATGGTATTTGTCAAATGTACAGAAATCTTTCTTTCGCTCTTTTTATTATTGTACTGACATCAGGTATGCCGCACCAGTTTCTTATGTCTCTAAACCATGAATTTTGTTTTCGCACACGTTTTAATTGTCATCTTTATATATCAACATGACACTTACGAGATTTTATTTGTTATTTTGTAGAATATGACCCTTATTATAAAACCTTTTGCTTCTTAACAAGATCTAACAATTTTTTTTTGAATATAAGCTCTTCTTAGAACCTTATCAGTTGCTACATGGTCCACCTATAAAATTCTAAGCAGCTTTCTGAGACACCACATTTCAAAAGCCTCCACACGATTCAGAAATCTCATTTTAAGTGACCAGGTCTCACTTCCCTACATTAGGATGGTTTTATGTAGCATTTAAAGACCCGATTCTAAGGGTTAAAAGAACTTCACGGCGAAGCTAGTATTTATCAAATTTAACTGAGGCGTTTCTAGTCATAACTACTTTTATCTTAACTTTTAGGAGTTACACTTGCTGTTTAATGCATAGCTCCAAATGTATTTAAATTTTTTAACTCGTTCAATAGCTCTATTATTTATATTCAAGTGGGCTTCCATATAGGATTGTCTGCTGATTATCTTATATTTAGCTCTCCCATTATATTTATAATATTTAATAAATCTTGTAGTTTCTTTATATTGTTCGCTGCTCTGGCCATATCGTCAACATATGTCAGGTTATTAGTAGGATTACCATAAATTCTAAAGCCTTTTTCGTTCTGTTATGCAAACTGAAATATCTTTTCTGCATAAATGTTGAGCAGTAGTGGGGAAAGAATGCAACCTTGTCTTACACCTTTCTTTATCTCTATTTCTTATGTTTGTTGGCCATTGGCGATCCTCTGTTTCGTTTTTTGATTCCAATATGGGTGTTAAATAATTTTCATTGTTTTTGTCATCGACCAAATTTGATTGAACGTGTGTATCAATATTTTATGTCTGATGTTGTCAAAGGCCTTGTAATAATTTTTGGTAATCAATTAAGTAAGTTTCAATATCTTAACTTTGGTCGTAGCATTTTTGCACCAACAACTTTTGTGTCTGTTTTGTTACCAAGTCATTTTTGAAACCAAATTAAGTGTCTACTGTTTTCACATTTGGTATAAATATGCTTATGTATTATTTTTAGAAACGCTTTTAAATGCATGGCTCATTAAGCTAATTAAACAGTATTTTTCGCAGCGATTGGGGTGTTGTGTTTCTTTGGTAGCTCCACGAAGGTTCATTTTATCCAATTGTTGGTATTTTCCCATGTATATGTTATTAAAAAAAACTTGTTTAATTTTTAAATGTTTGTATTTTGAAAACGATTTCCGAAATAGAAATTGAAACGTCAATAAACTTATTTTAGACTTTAATTGTGGCGTATTCTCATTAAAATAGTAATTGAAGGGCTAAGTGAAAGTAGGTGTTAAGTTACAAAAATTCATATTCAAAATAATCGACTTTTAGGGAAGTATTTTGGTGTATATCAAGTTTTTTAATACTAGCAGTTTCCCCTTCTTGTTTTAACAAAAATATACATAACACCTTCTTGTAATATTGCCAAGTACCAAAAGAAATAGATTATTTACCGAAATAAAGAGTTAACTACAAATATAATCATTTATTTATTCATAAAATCAGTTTGATTCAATCAAGAGATTGGCAATATTGTTGATATAATTAAAAGAACATATTTTCAACAGATATTACTATTTTCGTTGATGTTCTTGCGGTATTGAAGCATTTTTGTTTTCTTCATATGTGAAAAGTGGATATTTTCTACCTTTGTGGTATCTTTAATACATTCTTAAATATTGAAATCTTATGAACTGGAGTATATTCATCATACGACTCTTTGTATAGGTAGCTTTCAAATATATAGATTCGAATCCACTTAATACCATCTCTGAAGCGAACCTTTTGATTAAGTAATTTTTTTCTGTTTATCAAGCCAAGCTCAATACCTAATTTATTAATTTCATAAAAATAGGTTTCCATATCATTAACCACACAATTCTTACCGATGGCAGATTTAATTAATTCTCGAACTGATTTAAAATAATCAAATTAAAATTTTTATTTTGACCACAAGAGTCCGATTATGTTACTATATCTATTTTATATTTAACATCATCACGTGTCTGAATAAAATTCCACTTCCAATTTCAGATGCTACATACTCTGTAGTGCTACAGTGCTCTGTAGTGCTGTAGGTTGTTATCTTTAGCAAAGGCATAGTTTGCTGTAAGTCCATTGTAATGTAACACACAGTATAATCGGCGTTTTGCTTTAGTGCGGTCATTACTCATTAAGTTGAATCCTATCTTAATATTTTTATGGTGCTCTTCACTAACTTCCTTCACTAACGTCCTGAATCACAAATACTGCCTGTGTCGTTTTCGATGATGGTTTTTTATAAAATACATTTTGGGCTTTTTTTCTTTGCATTTAGTAATGTACAATCATGTAAAATCGATATATGATTGACGTATTAAGATTAGGTGGCAGATATTTTTTGTTATAATTACTGGTGTGTGAGTAGTGGGACTCTTTTTATCGTCAATATGCATACCAACCTGGTAAATCAACGAACTCTGCGTTGGATGATCTAAATAGGGTAATCTCAAAGTCAATGGAAGACAAAGAGGTAGCACAGGCCGCCTTTTTAGATATAGAAATGGGCATTTAATAATGTTAGCATCTAACTAATGGGCATCCCTAGAGAATCGGATAGTAATGTTCACTCTTTGTAAAGCAACCATCAAAGCAAAAGTAGGTGAAAGCTGTCCACAAGGAGGAGTTCTGTCCCCTCGACTTTGGGCAACCTTGATAGATGATCTCCTCAGAAATTTTGCCACAGAAGGCTTTTATTGTCTAGGATATGCTGACGATATAGCAATCATCGTCAGGGGCAGGTTTGCTCAGGTGGTGTCTGTGAGAATGCAATCAGCCCTAAATATAGGTGACGACTGGTGTAAAGAAGAGAGACTGATAGTCAATGCTCAGAAAACACAAATCGTCAACTTCATCAAGACAGCACTACAAGGCCTAAAACCACCGGTACTGGGAGGAACAGAAATTTCATTTGCCAAAGAAACAAAATACCTCGGGGTATATTTTGATAATCGGCTTACATGGCTCACATTCTAAAAATCACACAGAAAGCTACTATGTCCCTGGGCAGAGGTAGAACAATGTGCGGTAAGAATTGGGGACTTAACCCCAAAGTGACTCTATGGTTATACACACGGGTTATTAGACCCATGATAACCTATGGCTCAGTGACAGTAAAAAGTCTGCTAGGTAAAACACAAAGGCTAGCATGCCTGTGTACTACGGGGGTCATAAAAACAACTCCAACTGCATCGCTGGAAGTCCTGATGAATTTACCACCACTTCATATCTTTATACGGGGCGAAGCCAGATCAGTGATGCACAGATTAATCCATAGTCAGCCAGATCCATGGTACTGACAACAGAAAGCTAATCGAGGAGCTAAAAGCGGATATTGTGATGGGAAAACCTATCGATGCAACAGCTACTAGATATAGCTTTACCAATAAATTCACAATTAAGATACCAGGCAGGGAAGACTGGATAAAGGCGTACCCATAAAATCTGCTGCTACGTGGTACACGGATGGTTCAAAAACATCGGAGGGTGTTGGAGCCGGCATAGTAGGGAAAAATCAAGGGATACATTTCCGGTAAGTCTATCTAAGGAGGTGACAGTTTTCCAGGCGGAAATAACTGCAATCCATCACAAAAGGCAAGAAAGAACGTTCTGTTCAGTTGCCATCTTCACAGATAGTCGGGCAGCGCTTAAGGCACTCAATTCTACAGAAGTCAATTCTAAGCTAGTATGGGATTGCGTGTGTGCCCTAAATAAACTAGGAGACCGTAGGAAGGTTACGGTAGCCTGGGTTACTGGGGCACGAGGATCATAAGGGCAATGAAAAAAGTAGATGAAATGGCCAAACAAGGCTCATCAATGCCATTCATTGGACCGAAACCTGTCTGCGGCGTTGCAAAGTCAGTAACAAGAACGGCTACAAAGAAGTGGGTAGCTCACAAATCTCTGGAATGGTGGGGTAATTTACCAGGAAAAAGACAGGCGAAACAGTTCATTACAGAACATTTGCCAAAATTTACGGCAGACCTAATTAGCAAAGACAGGAAAAAAGTAAAGCCATAGTAGGTCTTCTTACAGGCCACTGTAGGCTGAATAGGCACTTGAAGCTAAGGGGATTATCAGATGATGACATGTGCAGATTCGGTCACCTCGAAGAAAAAACAGCAGAGCACATTTTATGTCAGTGTGACAGTCTGGCAAATGTTCGGTTTTTTGCATTAGGAGAAGAAAATCCACCGGCAAATAGCTACATGTAAGGTACAGTCTCGAAGCTACTAGACTTTATAAAGAGGGTTAGGCTAGAGAAAGCTATTTAGTGATAGAGGACCACAATAGATCTGAAAAGGTCGCAGTGTAATAGGCTGAAAGGCCACCTCTCTTAATCTAATCTAATCTAGTGGGACTCTCCTGTAAGGAATTTTAAAACATGATTCATTATCTCCTGTTTTACAAGACCATTTTATTTGTTTGGCCCATTAAAGTGTTGACCACGTTTGTCGAGAGATGGCGCTGATGCTTCCGTGGCTAGCTTGCCTTTATTGACATCTAACTTATTTATCTCTATTTGGTATAACGAACACAATGCTTTTTTTGTACACAATAATGTCTTCGTTGTTGTATACAACAGTATATCGATAAGATACAGATTCATGTTTAATTGCATCTTTTCTGATGCGTGTTATTGGTTTAGGAATAATACTTTTAAATAAGAGACCTTTTTTTCACTAATATCCAGTGCATAAAAATTGTTTAATATCAATTTTCGTTCTTCATCCTTAAACTTGCTGCTGCATTTTAGTCTACACGTAGACTTTGCATTGTTCTCTAGCAAGTAATGCATGTCTTCTCATCCATGTATCACGATTTCTTGCTCGAAGCTTGTTAGTTTTAAGTTTTATTGGAAAACTTTTAATTTTTTTTGTCCCTTTTGTCGTTATGCTAGCAATAAAAATGATTATCTTTTCAGCTTTGCTTGTTGCCTCTACAGATAATGTCTAAAGATTATTCGTTGAACTGGCCTCTTCTAAGCTTACGTTTGTAATATTTTCTTCTGCTTTAGGAGTTCCCACTCCCTGTTTAATATTTTCCGACTACTTACTCCAATACTCGATAATTTTACATTTTCACCATCTGGCATCTCCTGGATTCCTCTTAGCCTGGAACATATTCCACTGCCACTTGATTCAAATAGACATGACGCAGGTGAATGTAGAACCCAATCATAATCAGATATATGTTGTGTGTCAACTAAAAAGTACCAGTATTAGAACTAAAATTATAAGATAATTACGTTCAATCTTATTTTCAATATTAATATTTAAAGAACTCAAATCTCTATCTTCTTTGTTTATGGATTTTGGCACCATTTTCACCCCTTTTGGCACTCCTTCACAGGAAACATATTATATTGAGTATCAACTAATAATGAAATTTCGTTATGCACAATAATTACTCTTGTTTACTTAGAATAATAATTAAAATTACCTACCTTCTGTTTTATTGTCATTACTGATATTTGAAGAATAATTAAAATCAGCATATTATTGTATTTGTGCGTTTTCAACGAATTTTTTCCACGTTGAGACATAATATTTATTTAACAACAAAATAATTCCTTCTTTATCACCAGATAATATTTTTAACACGAGAAAATATGTTTTCTTATATTATGTAACCTGCTGTTGTTGTTATCAACAGGTCCTCGAAGACACTTCGTCTCAGGACCATTTTACTTATGTAGGGTCATACGTTGCCATGTTACCAATTTCAACGGTAACTTAAACATCCTAATTTGTAACTATATATAATGTAAAACAACTGTAAATTTATTTAAACATTTAAAGGGTTTTGACCCATATATTTTGGTGGCTTATAGCATGTATACCCCGTTTACACTGATGATGGATTTAACAATCCGAAAACGTTCTGTAATAAAATTGTGATAGCCCGTTTGGGCATTTTATTATATACCTTTTATAAAGGATTTGAAATAAATATTTTGTGATATATGGTATACAGCCAGCTACAGGAATTTAGTTTCCTAGTGGAAACATATCTCCTTATTCATTCATTTGTCCTAATTTAAAATGTCTTTCCTACAGCATCATCTACCACATTTCTACTTTTGGCATTAAATTCGCTGAGAAACATTTTAATTTCTTTTGGCTTTTTACTGTTAGTAACATTTTCTATATCTTCGTAAAGCTATTTGTTTATGCAAATAATACTCTGATACCATATGCCGATGCTGAAAAATATTTGGGTATTACATTAGACCCCAGGCTTTGCTGGAGGTCCCATAGTAGAAAGCAAAGAGAACAGCTCAACATTTTGCATTTTTTAGTTGGAAGAGCTCGAGCGTCCTTTCGCCAAAGTCTGAGGATAGGATCCAGCATTAGGGGAAGGGGGCTTAGACTTGCAGGGTATCTTACTCCACCCAGTGACGTCACTGCCGCCGAAGAAGAAGAAGACAGATTGGAGCAATGGTAAGTAGAATGATAAACTAAAATTAATTTTAACTAGCTGCGCAAATTTGACTCTCTGTTTATTATAATAATTATATTTATGAAAAAACTTTTTCTCTCACGTCATGTTACAAAACAAAAGGAAACTAAAAGTTGTGACCTTGTTAAATGAAAATTTTAAATAAGATATATTTTATACCCCTAATCTGTTTTTTCTTGTTTTGTTCTCCACAGTAGAGACTGTTTTATAATTTCTTTAATATATACTTGTATTTTGGTTTAAAAGAGTTGAAATAAGTCTTATTATATTTTATTTTATGAAATATTAAGCCATCAAAGTTGATCCAATTGCCAAACTGGTTACCAAGTTCTGCTGGGAACTCAGTGTTACTGAGTATATTCCTTTCCCCTTGTCAGAATTATGAGTTTAGACAAAAGTGTAGCCACGATAAGATAGAATTATCTTTAGTACAGTGTACAGGGACGCAAATTCCTTTAATTAGTTTTATCCCACGTCCAAGATGGGATTTAAAAAGGCCAACTGGATTGACTTCTCTGTGGATCTAGATAGATGTCTAGGGTGGATTACACCGAATATCAAAAATTACCACAGATTTGTTGGTGCCGTGCTAAGTGTAGCCAAAAAACACATACCAAGAGGATATCGCTAAGAATATGTTCCACTAGAAAGTCTAATCTTTCAGAAATCAAGCAGACAGGCATGGTCATTACTAACAAAATTACTAAGTGGTGTCTGTACGAAATGGAAAAACATCCAGGACACCAAAGGATAAATCACACAATATCTACGTAAAGAGAGAACTTAAAACTTTAAAACATGTAGCCACAGAAACGGAGCATTCCCTTCTCTTTATCAGCGAAGACATATTAGAGACTCTTAAAGACGTTAAGCCAGCAAATGCACCAGGATTTGATAATATTCATCCTGAATTCCTACTAAATTGTGGCAAGTATACAAAAGTTTGGCTGGCTCGATTTTTCACAGACATCATAGAAATTGGAAATATCTCACAAGAACTAAAGCGCTCTAAGATAATAGCCATACAAAAGCCAGGCAAACCCGCTGACAACCCAAAAAATTACAGATGAATTGCGCTTCTCTCTGCCATCTACAAACTATTAGAGAGGCCTATATATAATAGAATCAGTACATAACTTTTCCAGGTGATCCCAGTCGAACAAGCGGGTTTTCGACCAGAACGAAGCTGCACGGACCAGGTAATGTCACTCACGATCTACATCGAAGCGGGTTTCCAAAGAAGACTTAAAACTTCAGCGGCATTTATTGATCTCTCGGAAGCTTACGATACAGTATGAAGAGAGGGCCTTATATACAAAATTCTCCGTGCAATCCCCTGTAAACAAATAGCACGTTTAATAGATAGAATGCTCAACGACCAAATGTTTCAAGTAGTGATAGGCACAGATATCAGCCCACCAAAGAAACTAATGAATGGCCTACCACAGGGGTCAGTGCTCTCTTTATTAGTATTTAGCTTATATTTAGCAGATATGCCAGAAACACAATTAAGAACGTTCGGATACGCCGATGACTGGGCCCTCACTACACGATGCAGAACACTAGAAACATCTGAAGAAGTTCTGACGACAGACTTATATATATTGAGCAAATATTTTCGCAAGTGGCGGCTTTAACCAAATGCATCCAAAACAAAAGTAAGTTGCTTTCACCTGAACAATAAACTTACTGGAAAAGAAACTCAACATACGGTTTGAAAATACCACACTTTCCCATAACAAAACACCGAGGTACCTGGGCGTAAACTAGACAGAACGCTATCATTTAAAGAGCATTTAACAAAAACTGCCAAAAGTTGAGTACAAGAAATAACATTATACAGAAGCTCTGCGGTACCACCTGGGGAGCATCGGCTTTCACTCTCCGCTCTACTGCTTTAGCCCTTGTTTTCTCGACCGCTGAATATTGTGTCCCAGTTTGGCTATACAGTCCACACGTAAAAAAGGTCGACACTCAGCTGCACAGCACTATGAGGATGATAGCTGGTATAATTAAATCAACTCCCTCCCAACGGCTTCCAGTATTAAGTCACATTCCACCTCCACATTTACGACGAGTTGACGCACTTACACGTGAATACAAAAAGATCATGAACAATACAAACCTGCCGATCCACCAATATACCGAGGATGCACGAAATACCCGTCTATGTCCTAGAAAACCACCAATAAAAACGGCAAGCATGATACATGAGGAGTTCAACATCATGAATGCATGGTCCTAAGAATGCAATGCATGGCAAAATAACACGCCCTGCATTACCCACAAGCCACCACGTTTTGATCTTCCACGTTAAACATGGTCCAGTCTAAACAGGATCCGAATCAGACATGGCAGATGTCCATACATGCTACATAAATGGGGAAAGAATCCGTCTCTTTAATGTGACTGTGGAAAGAACCAAACGATCGACCACATTATTGAAGAGTGTCCCTCAAGATCCTACAATGGTAGCCCTGAAGACTTCCTGTTTGCAACTTCAGAGTCAATTGATTATGTTAATACACTTGATATTTGTTTGTAACTATTTAAAGTTTGTTATATACCCATAAAACTAGTGTTTGTAGATTTGTTCAAAATCTGTAATTGCCATACGATAAATAAAATAACTACAGTGTACATATCCCGGTAATGAACTGTTGATAATAGCCTTAATAGTAATGAATCTAAAATGGACAGCCAATACAAACTCGCAAACCTGTGTGATGTTTGAATATTTATACATCCCATATTATAAAGAATTTTAAAGCAAAAAAAAAATATCTAAGTGTAGGCAAACTTTCAAATTCTACATCATCAATAAAAGTCTATTTAAGGGAATCTGGAGGGGGCAAAAGTTAAAATCGAAAATTGAAACTTCCGCAAAGAAATAAAAAAAAACAAACTATCAGTAGGAACATAATAATGGGGCATAGTAAAACTAGAATAAATAAGAACAAATATTGAAATTAAAATTATACCATTCAATAACCTATGACGTAAAGGCAATGAAGAAAATATACATCAAAAAGTTGTTAAGTATGTGCAAACAAGAACGGAAAACTTTGGACGGAGCTGCTTTTGTAATATTAAAAATGCACAGAACGTCGCTAAAATTTACATAAGTTTATGCCTCTAAAACGGTATACGATAATATTGACTTTTTTGCTTTTTATGGAGACATTGCTGAAGTTATAGAAGTTATAAAAGAAAATAAACTCGCTTAACATAAAATAAAAGTAAATAAAAAAGGCTGTATATAAAAAAGTTTGATGAAAAACATAACTAAAAATGGTAAAATAAGAATAATATTAAATTGAATTTTATACTAATTGACAAAAAAAGGTAAAAAACACCGACAAGTATTTATCAGATTTTAATATAATTTTTGATATGTATGCTCACTGTCCCTTATCAGTAAACTACTTAATTCGTCAACTTACTGCAGAAGTTAATTGCGTTCAGGAGAAAGTTGAAAAAAGTACGTTTCCTTAATAAATGTTTCCACGCCCTTAGGCAACATATGGAACAAAGTCTGCAGAATAAAAAGGACAAAATACTTTCGAGGTTTAAATACTATATCATACATATATTAACCAAATGGATTCACACAATAAAAGATATTTCAGAAATACTAGGATATAAATATATATGAACTCAATTCTAGTGATTCCATTTATAGCATATCTTTTTTAGAACACAAAAAACTAATGGAGTCTTCAAACATACAAATCACCGAGAATGACAATCTAATAAACAAACCTGTAAGTCTTTATGAATTATAATTTTGTTTATGTGTAAAAAATTCGACGCCAGCACTTGATGATATTCACCTTCTTTTCTTGCTAAATTTCACTGAATGCAAAACTACTGTTGCTTAACAATATTTATGTATATATTTTTAACAATATTTTATGACTTAATTCCTAATCCTAATTTGGTTGTTCACCACGACTTCTTTTTGATGTAAAAAAAGCTTACAACATGGAGACATCTTATATTAAAAACACTTCAAGATTGGAATGATCAAAAATATATGCTGTCTTTTATTTAAAATATTCTAAAAACACGAACTTTTTGAGTTAGAACCAATGGATTTACATCTTCGAGACGAGTACATCAAAACGGCACTCTACAAGGATTTACTTTAAGTCCAAGACTCTTTCTAATTGTAATAAATAGTATTGTAAGTCAAATAAAGGATGTATTTACTAGCCTATATGCGGATAACTTGGTCATTTATCTAAAAAAAAACAATGTAATTCTAGGTTTACATATGTTACAAACTGTCTTACACACAATTGAAATCTGGTCTCAATATACGGGTTTTATATGCTCTTGGGAAAATACACATTATTTAATTTTTAGCAAAACACAAGAAAAAAATTACCATTATTTTCAATTAACTTTAAACGGAGTTTACAGAAGAGAAACAGAGGAAATAAATTTAGAATTTTCTTTTGAACTTAACTTAAAATACAACAGTCACATAACAAATCTATCTTGTCAATCTAGACTTCTTCTTCTTCCTATGTCGTCCCCATTAACGGAGGTTGGCGACCACATTTTTAAAAGCTTCTCTGTCTTTTACAACGTGGAATAATTCGTCTACAGTCATGTTTGTCCAGTTTCGAATATTTCGCAGCCATGACTTCCTCTTTCTACCTATTCCCTTTTTGCCATCGACTCTACCCTGCATGATGACCTGCAGAAGACTATATTTATTATTTCTTAATATGTGTCGAAGGTATGGAGTCTTGCGTAATTTTATCGTTCTCAACAATTTTTTGACTCGACCCATTCTTCTCAGCACTTCCTCATTGGTGACCCTGGCAGTCCATGGGATTCTCAACATTCTCCGGTATATCCAAAGTTCAAAGGCTTCAATTTTTTAACTATTTGTCTGTAACAAACCTCAGTCTCAGCGCAATATTCAGATTTTTATCACAGAACAATTTTTTGAATTTTAAGAACGCTGCCC